AAGCCGCATGTTGGGCTGATCGATATACAATGCCACATGTTGGGCATAAATGAAATGCTAACCACATGTTGGGTTAAATGAGATGCAAGCCACGTGTTGGGCATGAATGACATGCAAGCTGTATGTTGGGCTAAATGAAATGCTAGCCACATGTTGGGCTAAATGAGACGCAAAGCTGCGTGTCGGGCATGAATGAAATGTTAGCCGCATATTGGGCTAAATGAGATGCAAGCCGCGTGTTGGGCTGAAAGATATGCAAAGACGCATGTTGGGCTAATGAAATGCAAGCTGCGTGTTGGGCTGATTGATATGCAATGCTGCATGTTGGGCATAAAATGAAATGCTAACCACATGTTGGGCTAAATGAGATACAAGCCACGTGTTGGGTTGAATGATATGTAATATCGCATGTTGGGTATAAATGAAATGCTAGCTGTGTATTGAGTTGATGAAATGCAAGCCGCATGTTGGGTTGAATGATATGCAAAGCTGCATGTGGGCATAAATGAAATGCAAAGCCACATGTTGGGCTAATGAAATGTAAAGCTGTATGTTAGGTTGAATGATATGCAATGCCACATGTTGGGCATAAATGAAATGCTAGCCACGGGTTGGGCTAAATGATATGTAAGCCGCATGTTGGGTTGAATGAGATGTAAGTCTCGTGTTGAGCTGAATGATATGCAAGCCACGTGTTGTGTTGAATGATATGAAAAAGCTCAAATGTTTGCATGAAAAGTTACGTAAAGAGTCATGCTTGTAGACAAAAGTAGCAAAATGTTATGTTAGTAGAGAAATGTAATGGAATGCTTATTTGGTAGGAAAATGAAATACAATGTTATGTTGACATGTCATGTTGGTAGAGAAATGTTATAGAATGTTTAGTTGGTAAGAAATGTAATGACTAAGAAAAATTGTCCTTGAAAATGAATTGAAAAATTTCTTTTGAAAATAAGTTGAGAAGTTGTCTTTTATAGAAATGCTTTTGGAAGTGTCATGAAGGATTTTGAAAATGGTTTTACCTTATGACCTTGAGATGCAGATCTTTTGGAAAAAGAATTTACCTTGGGTTTGTAATTGCCCTTCAGTTTCAAGTTTGTATTGCATGTTCGCATCCATAATTGACTCAATCATATCACAACAATGGCTAGATCTTCTGAATATATTATATCTCAACTGCTCAAAATAATTATACATGAAAACAATTAAGTTCACTCCCTTGGGATTCTTGTTGCTTTGACTCTATGTGAGCTTTCTCTACTTTCTTCATGAGTAACATGAACAAAACAAAAGCTCATTTTCTTCTTTTTTCTTTTTTCTTTTTTCTTTTCTTATGAGGAAACTCTATATGAATGATATTTCAAGTGAGGACACAATGATAAGAACCAAGAGAGATGAAATTGATAGGTATGAATGAATGACATGATTAAGATGACAGATATGGAATTCTTGACAAAAAGATGAAAGATTTGAGATTTTTGATAGAGAAGAATCTTTTCCTTGCTATCTCAACAAATTACAATCATTTCTTTCATAAAATATAAAGATGATATCTTCAACTCATGGATCATTGAATCATTTGAATGGCTTAACTTCAAATTTTTCAAAATTTGCACCCAGGTTTTTAAGGCAATCATATATTTTTATCACTCAAACCACATTGAAATTTCAGAAGCTTTCAGATCCTCTAATAAGGACTTTTTTTGGCTTGTAATGTGGTCATTGGCTTGGTTAATTTGAAAGAAAGGATATTAAGCTCAAAATGCCCCTCATGCTATCTTCGACCTAGTGATTGTAATCATCAAAACATCTAAAGTTTCAAAACCTTCAAAAAGGACTTTTGCTTTGGGTTGTAACGTGGTTTGGGATATGGTTATTGAAAGAATGGTCGTTAAAAGCTCAAATTCCCAATTTGCTCCCCAAGTTGCTAGGAGCTTCACTTATTTTGAACTCTTTTTTTTTTTTTTTGGT